CTCTTCGTTTGCAATTTGTCGAGGCCAATGGGAGCATCAGATAATCTTGGTGTTGCATCTGAATCTGCAGCACATCAAGCTGGATATTAAATAAAGAGTCATTTCAAACGGATCACATTAGACACAATGCATCTTGGCCACTAACAAAAAGCTGGCGATATTACCTCTCTGCACTGCAGTGCTAGGAATCCCTTTCAAAGACGCAATTGCCTTAGCACTCTTTATTTTTGATCCGAGAGAGGCACACAATCCTTTATTTTTTTCTTACATCCACGCCTTTCAGAAAGCATTAAAATAATGACTTCAGAGTGATCAAGCGTCGCCTCCAAGAAGACCATAATGGACTTGGAGAAATAGAGGTTTAGTGGCGCATGGGGGGGGGGGGGGGGGGTGGGGGGGGGGCTTGAAAAATATATCTGAAGAAGTAAACGTCAATGTCATGTAATTGGACAACTCGGTTGCCCTCGGGTCTGCAGGTACGGGACCCCTCATTACTGTTCTGTCTTCGCGTCAATTTACGTCCCCCCACTTGTATAACTGGCGAGCCTACTCCCGCTCTCCCAGTGAACATGTCGATATTAACACGGTTCTCACCGCCACACCAATCATCACCGGGTGCACCCGTGGCGTTTAAAAGGGGCGCCGCGTTTTTTGACGTTTGCGAGCAAGCGCGACGTTTAAAACGGCGATGGGCGCGTAAGCGTTGTTTTTTTCCTTTCATTCAATCGATCAGTTTGTTTGCTTGTCTGTCTGTCGTGTCTTTATTTACGGGGGTACGTTTTTACCGGGCGCGACGTTGTGTTTCCGCCACGCAGCGACGGGCGCGCGTCAATTAACTTCTTAATATTTCTCCTTCGGATACTCTGACCGTGTAATGGTATATGCGCACTCGACTTGCGATCCAGAGGCCGCCGGATTGATCTCCTGGTCGTGAAAAGTCAACATACTAAACGAGTTTTTGTAACCCCTCCCCCAACCATCCCTGTCCACCCAGCAACATCAATGGATTCACCACGGTTTGTCGACCGGCAGGTAGTGTGTGATGGGGTAAAATCTTGGCACTGACACCTCTACCAACACGTCTGGCTAGCGTGGAGGAGTAGCCCACAAGACCCTCCAGATGAGCTCGCTGGAGCTTCCTCTAGCAACGGAACACAACCACCGTCGTTCAGCACTAAGCGGCGGTGATGTCACCAGGGCGCGTGTGCCATGCAAGGTGCGCTTTGAGGCCCCGTGAAGTGTCGAAGGCCCCCTGGCAGGATTTGCCGGACTACAGACCCAGGTGCCATGGGATGACTGACTGAGATGACTGGCAGATGCACCATAAGCTGTGCTCCCCCCACTGTGGCTCTAGCAAAAAGCCCTCCCACCAGCAGTGGCTTCGAGCCAAATGGTTTAAGGGTACCACCCTTACTTTAATTTTCCTGATGTCCAAGTAAACGCTGTACTTAATACAAATAAAGTTGGTGCAAGTGATTGCAGTTTTATTGACATGTTTCCTGACCTTTAACACCGAGCATTGAACAACAGAAATGTTGTCACGTGAAGTCAACCTTCACGTGACATTTCGACACATCTCGGGCTTTTGTGCTCCCTTGTGTTTTACTAATCACGTATACGTGTGTTTTAAAGTAAATTGCTTCCGACTTATTTCACGGGATATTTTACCCTTGCACCGCATAAACTAAACCCAGACAGTTTCAAATGCAAACGTTGATGGATCTTGGAGGAATCCATCTGGAAAATATAATTATACTTGAAGCAAGAGCAACGTATTTGTTTTTGTTATTATTATATTCACGTACTTTGTTGTAGTTATAGTCATCTCGGAATAGGATTGCCCAATGCCACCATCTAGCATGGTGGAAAGTAACATTTTCACAACCTACATTGAATGTGTGGGCGTGTATACAGAAGTTCTGTATACCCTGATGACATTGCTTTGAAAAAGTATCGATATCCTTGCACAGACGGGAGGGGGTGGCGGAAGGGAGGGGGTGGAACACACACACACAAAAAAGCTAAATCGATCACCTGTGCTACTTTGCAAGGTGTGCGTCAGTGAGCGGCCCTGGCTGTTGCTCAGTTGTGCAATGTTGTGGAACACGTCCCAGTTAACAAAACACTCCTGATCCAGGTTTGCGAAAATATCCAGAAACTGAGCACACGTGTATGTGCAGTTGGCGAGCCTGAGAAATGGCACCGTGGTAGAAATCTGTGCGTTGCACATTTGCACATAGACGCACACGGGTAATGGATTCCCTTTGCTGGCAATAACCAACCGCCGGCGTGCTCTCACAACCGCCGAGAACGCGGGGCTGGCCCGCTATTGCCTTGGAGCAAGTGCTGTAACTAATGCAATCTGTCTGAAGTGGGAAAACAATTTATAATTGGGTGACGTTCCCCGCCTCCCACCTGCCCACCCCAGCATTTTCATCAGCACCCCTCTTCCCCCCCCCCCCCCGTCACCCCATCCTAACTCCAATTCCTCACGCCGTCCCAGCTCCATCGCCCATCCATCCCCGCCACCCTTGCATCACCTGGCAGCCACGGCACGACAAGGATCGCAACAGCACCATCATGTCCTCGGTGGACAACAGCAGGCCTCAGAAAGGTTCTGGGTTAGGGGCCACCGTTTGTATAGCCGTGCTACGGAACGAATGTGGGGGGCCACGTGGGAAATTTGGGGCACCGCAGTGGCGAGATGTTATCTCCCTCGCCTGGTATGCAAGAGGTCGTGGGTTCAATGCCGACCCTGACGCCTGTATATTTGCCGGCTTGCATGTTCACCCCCCCCCCCCCCCCCCCCCTGGTCGCGTGGATTTGTCTACGGGTACTCCAGGTTTTTGCCTCATTTGTGGCCAGGTTGCTTCTGAAAAAGAGCTAATAGCTCAGTGCCCTTAACCTGGTCAATAAAATCGTTTATAGTTTAATTTCAACGGCAAGCCAATAATTCGTGCCAGCCATGGAAGATATTACGTGGATGTGACAATTAAAATTAAAAAAAGGTGGGCTCTTTGCATGGAAGAGGTGCGATCCTTCGAATCCCTTCGTCCCTCCAGTGTTCACGGGCCCAGAGGCTGCGGGCAACCTTCATTTGGCCTTGTTTATTATGCATATTATGCTAAATGTGAGCAGACTCCCCATTAGCAAACCTGACCATCATTTTGATTCCAATTTACTTCTCTTTTTTTAAACACAGTTAAGCCTGCAAGAACGTACTCAAATTTTAAAAGCTGTTTGGTGGATTAGTTAGTGCGCTTTATTAGACCACACGAGGCCTGAAGCAACATTACATTGTGATTACACTCTCGCTTAATTTAAGTCCAGTGCTTTCAACAACATTTTTTAACTCCTCTGATAACAATTTTTCTAATCTTAATCAGAACTTGTTGCTTCGTTTTGCATCGGGGAGGCAATTTTTTTATTTACCGCTTAACTTTTTTTTGCCGAGGTGCACATCGCCGTGTATTTGATTTGCGCGAAATGTAAACGTATATGCAGTCAACATTGCGTTCAGGGTACAAATATGAAGCGAATGTAAATCTGCAACAGATTCCCTGTCTTGCAATGTATTCCATTAGCTTAATATTTGTAAATGGGGCATCAACAAACAAGTACGTGCACACACCTGTGCGCACCCAACACACACACAAAGACACACACCGTATAAATGATCTACACAAGTATGAGCCAGTTATGGGGTACGTGCAGCTTGGCTAAACATGATAAACGCCAGTGCTCTAATTTAATATTACTTTCATTTCAACTTATTTCATGCTCCATTGCCTGATTGTTTTTACCCTTAGCTGTAATAGAGAGGGGCCTGCCGTTGTTTTTACAAGTGGTGAGCTGGAAATCTTAAAATAGGTACCGTCGTTTCACCCCCCCCCCCCACCGCGTGCGCCCCCCAAAAAAACTCCGTTAAACCAAGCTCATTAACCTTCAGCTCATTTCCAACGCGTGCTGCTACGGCAAATGGGTAGAAAATTCAACCGCCTCGGCACAGCAGGGCCACTGACTTACACGGTTCCGTCCGCGACGTGAACGCGAGGGTGAGCGGACGAAATAAAATTAGCAGCGGTAAGAATGTTGAGGGGGCGCTGGGGGGCGGGCACGCTGGCCCTCGTACATGAGGGATGTCCTGACTCCCCCCCCCCCGCTCTTTGTGACCCCCCGCCCCCCCTTCGAATGTTCCCTTACATTAAATTCCACCCCCAAATTCCTCGTCGTGCTGTGCAGCGCTCTGTGTGAGGAGCGTGTCTTCCGTTGAAATGCTTTACCAGTCCAGGTGGTGCTCTTCTTATCCCACTGTGTGCGGTCAGATCGCAAAGTCGTGTTTTAGTCTGAGGGTGTGGAAAATATCACAGCGTATGTGTGAGGTACTTTGGACAGAATGTGATTGGAGGCTCCAATAATAATCAAGACGAGCGGAGGACCATCCAAATATTGAGGAGAGTTGAAGGCGAAGGTTCAATTTCGACCAATACAACTACTAGGTCCATTGATGTGAGCAAATACTATGAATTATTGTGTGAAGTATGGACAGTCCTAACGATATTTGTTATTTATAATGTTTAAGTCTGCTTCTGTGTTGCACTAGAACCTTTGTGGTTATGAAGTATTTTTTTTTTTTACCCATGTCTTCATTGCAAAAGTGGCGTCTGATCACGTTGGACTTTTAAATAAAAGGATTCGAATCGAAGAGTGCAATTCTTGTCACATCAACTTGCGCCACCGTCACCACCATCACCATCACTACCACCACCAACAGCATCATCGCCACGACCACTGCCACCACCCGAACGCCCTCGCCTCTTCACTGCGATCAAACGAGCTGTATGTACGTTACGTTGAACGTCTTTCGCTCCGTACGTAGCCGACCGTGCTAATCGGAGACGCGGGGCGAAGGACAATGAACACAAAAAGCAGCTCTGAAAGGAGTGCGTACACTAACCAGGGCGCACGCATGCACGCACCTCTCCCATCTCGCCCGACAGCCAAGGAGGAGAGCGTGGCCACGTTCCGGGGCAGCGAGTACTTCTGCTACGACCTCTCCGAGAGCCCCATCCAGAGCAGCAGCGACGAGATTACGCTCTCCTTCTGCACGCTGCAGCGCAACGGCCTCATCCTGCACACGGGCAAGTCGGCCGACTACGTGAACCTGTCCCTGCGCGACGGCGCCGTGGCGCTCGTCATCAACCTGGGCTCGGGGGCCTTCGAGGCGCTCGTGGAGCCCGTCAACGGCAAGTTCAACGACAACAGCTGGCACGACGTGCGGGTCACGCGGAACCTCCGCCAGGTACGGGGGCGAGCGGGGCGGCTGCGGAGAGGAGTCGCGATCGGGGGCAGCGGGGGGAGGGTGGGGGATGCGTCGACGCGCCGAAGGGGCGGTGGTGGGTGCGGCGGCTGGGGGGGGTTTAGGGGTGAGTTGGGAGGACATCGAGGATGGAGTACTGTTGTTGTTGTTGCTGTTGTGGAGGTTGTCGTGAATGTGCTGACGATGTGTTTCTCGGGGTTGCGCCGCTTCTGGTTCGGTGCGAAGTCCGATGTTCGGCTCCACGTGCCGCGGGCAGCTTTTGTCGGGAACTAAAATGTGTCAAAAAAATGAAAATCGGTTCCCTTTGAAGGACTGCTGTTTTATCTCCACGTTTCGTGGGCCACCCCTTTGACAAATTCAGCTGGTTTTGTGTCCAGCAAGTCCCTAACAGTAACACAACCCTGGACTATAAGATGTCATTCGCACGGGATCATCGTCACGAGAGTTACCGTGCCGCCCGAAGAGCTCCCCTGCACGTGGAGCTGAAACATCGGACATCGCCCTGCACAACATTGCGGCAAGACCCCAAATAAACATGCGAGAGCTAAGCCAGGAGGGTGAAGGGCGGGGAAGGACGGGGAGGGGGCTCGGCATGTGACATATGCCTGGCTGGGGAATTTGTACGCAGTGCTGAATGTGCCGATCATCCACTCGGGCCGCATTAGCATTGTGACCACCCCTTTGTGCGGCTCCGTGGCGTGGAAGGCGACGTCGCGACGCGGAGCCTCGCCCCGGCGTCCGCCCTGGCATCCCGCGCAGCCCGTTACTTAAATCGGCGTCGTGTGCGGCAGCCGGTTCTGTCGACGTCGAAACGGCGGAGGAACGATGCCGGCCTTGGAGCGGCGCGCTCCTGCAAGAGAGCGCGCCGTCAGAATTTTGAGCGGAGGACTCCTCGGTTGACGCTGGTGTGCCAACAATGCGGGGCTTTAGTTTCTTCGTCAAATGTGTTGTTCTTGTTGTTGTTGTTGTTGTTTTAATAGGGGGGGGAAAAAAACGAAGGGTACATGCGGGTTTTTTTTTCTTTTTTTCTCGTGGCTTTGCTGAAATAAGGAAAAGTTCAAGATGATATTCAAAATCACGCGTTCGAGTTAAAAGCTCGGTTACTCTGTGTTACTCTTTTTTTCCCGGGTCATTGCAATGCCCACGCATTTATGTTTTAATCAAAGAACTTTAGGTCATTATCTTGCAGAGGGTGGCTTCATGAGTTATCGAGCAACATTTTCTGTTATTTCTACGTTTTTTAAAGAAATGTATCGAGTGTTAAAACTTTGTTTAAAGTTAATGCTTATGTAAACTAAACTAGAGCGTTTAGTTGCTGGTCTGAAAAAGTTCCTCAATCCCTTCAATAATTGATACATTGAGAACCTTCAGTGTATTAGGAAGCCTCATGAAGATGCATAAAAAAAAAACTAAGTTTGTTGATTCTTTTCCCCTTCATTTACCACTTTAACAAGCTGGCACCAGTTCATTGGTGACTCTGTGTTCTCATTATTCGACTGTTAAAATGATTCTGTGAGCGAGTTACCAAATTGCAATGGCCATGTAACTTGTCGCATGGATGTCTAACGTGTGCCCCCCCCCCCTCCCGCAGATTGAAAAGCGATTCACTGTTGATTTTACTCTCCGACGAAACTGTTATTTTTGGTTATCCAATGTAGCGGTTTCCTGGCAGCAAAACCCACCGGGGAGTTTCGTCGAGAGGGCGACTGCGTCCAGAGCTATGCGGTGTTTGCGGCTGAGCGGTTAGGATTTCAAAACGCGTCTTCCCCCCCCCCACCCCGCTGGCGTGTGTCTTTCCCCCACCGAATTCACTCCGTCTCACACGCGCTTCGAGTGATTTTTGTTAATCCTTCGCGGGCACAAACTTAGCGGCCTCTCGCTGCCTGGGCCACACACCAGTCCGGTCTTGGTTGCTTCCCAGATTTTGCAGCTTTAAAAAAATATATATATAAGAACTCACTCAGAGGTAGTGGTCCTCGATCCCGATTGGGTAAATGGCCCCGAGCTTTGTGTACATCATCAGCGGCCTTCATCTTACATCAAGAAGCTTAAAACGTAAATCCCCATGGGGGAGAACTCTTCAGATGTGCGCGAGAAAAGTGGACGCCCAAGTTTCCCGAGACGTTCAAGCTTTCTTTGCGCTGGTGTTCATGCGAGGGGGATGCGTTGAGTGTGCCGATGTCTGTTACAGCATCCTCCGAGGAGGAAATGTCTTCGATTTAGAATCACGGAGCAAGGAACAAGAAAGGGGAAGAGACAACACACCGATCGAGATGCTGTGCCATACAAATTGGCAATGGATCTGTCATGTTTACTAATTAATGTGTACCACCTTTGAAAAGGCCAGAGTTCCTACACCAAATTGACCTTTCATCACACAACCACTTGCAGACAAAGTGTGCCTTTCAAAGCCCACGCTTATTGAGATGTTTGATCCAGTGTGTGGGGTATTTCAACAAGAAAAGGAGTTTATGCATTTAGAAAATTAATTTGATTACTTAATTGCTTTACTAATAATAGGGCATTAGTGCCTGAGGAAACAGGTTAACCCATAATCACAGTGAGGTAGCTTTGGTAAGTACAAGACACATCTCTTTTTATTTTGCAGACTTAGCAAACACTAACCAAGCGTAGCTGTGTTCACCTGGCTTGAGTGCTATCCTGTCACATTACATGCTTTACTAACCGAGGGTGACTTACTCAAGCTCTGCTTGTTTAACAAACTAACAACTCATGGAATGTCTCATTTTGTATGTTGTACTTCTACTAACATAACGACTCTAACCGAGCGATTGTTACTGCACTAACTGCATTACGTACTAACCAGCAGTCGGATGGCTGCCAAATACATTTACTAACCGAATGTGAAATACCTTCGCCGCTAACATCTTTGATTTTTCGTTCCAGTGACGTTTTCACCGTTTTATTTTTTTGTGCTCCCTCTTTGTCTCTCTCTCTTTCTCTCTCAACCCTCCTGTTTCCCCTCCCCACTCCTCTCACCCCAACCCACCCTCCCCAACCTTCAAAACACCACCGAATTCTGATGCAAAGCATTCGGGCATCGGACATGCTATGGTAAACAAACTCCACTGTATGGTAGATATCATTCCAATTTGTCTCCGTTTGCAGTGGCCTCTTTGGGCATTATTTTCAGCTTCTTCCCCACCTCCTCTCCCAACCCCCAAGTTATTATTATTATGATTAATTATGAGTTGAAGACTATCTCTTTTTCTTTTATTGACATACCTCTATTGATGATCGACCACATTTTTTTTTAAGATTCGGTTCTTATTTTGGCAGACTGTTTGTTTATATTGTGTTAACCTCACATCCTCCGTGAGCCTCCTAGTCCTCCCCCGGACTCCCCTCCCTCTTCTCTTCTCTTCCCTCCATTCTAGCGGCCACTCCCCATCTACACCCCCCCACCCAGACCCCTCCTCCCTCCCCCACTCTTCCTCCCACTCCTCCCCCTGCTCACCTGTGTATATGCGATGGCTTCACGTTTGCTTTCAACACTCGGGTGTGCCAGCCTCCACATGCCGTGCCATCTCCTCGTCACTCTCCTGTCTGTTGTGCAGCTCTGTTGAGTCATCACCTCCACTGCCACCCACCTCTTTCCATCCCCAGCACAGTCCTGCCAACCTTGTAGGCTGAGACAAAACGATTAATTTGGAATTATACGCCACCTGCAATCCATGGTTAAAGTGATATAAACATCTATACTTAAACCTTGAAGGCTACAATAGCAGGGTAAAATATATATAGCAATTGCATTATAACGGCTTACGTTATTAAATAAATTACCCCAACGTGAAGTTAACAATTTTAAGACCTAGCAATGAAGCTTAAAACAATTATCTTAAACATCTCAACAACCGTTCTCGCCTAATAGCATTTTAAAACGCGCAATGTGTATAAGCGCTGCGATTATTCTCAGTCCCCTTTCAAGCACTCTCTCTGAAATGGCTGAGCTGCCAGTCATTCTCCTTCTACCTACGATTTGACTTTCTCTTGCATCGTCCCAAATCCGAGCTCGCAAGCTCTTGAAGCTCTTTAACACCACCACCACCACCGCCCCTCTCCTTTTCAACAACCCAAGGCTCTCATTCACCGTCACTGTTTGTCGCGTGCCCTCCCACTTACATCCGAGGCGCATCCCCTCCGGACAACTCCCCCCCCCCACACCCCCCCCCCCCCCCCCCCCCCCCCCCCCCCCCAATGCAGCTGCCCTGTTGCAATGCATCTGTGCTTGGGTAGAAACGAGAATTCCGTCACCGGTAACGTGCCGTTATTTTACGAGAGAGAACATTTTGAGGGAAGAAGCGCGCCAAAATGAAGCGCCAATCCGCACGCCAAGTGTCCGTGCCGCACAATGTGGTCGCAAGAGCCCGTTCCCGCCCCCCCCCCCCCCCCAACTGCAATTAAATGCTCCGGGCAGTGCATTTAAGCGGTGGTTCGTATGCACGATGGTAAATGTGATTCTCATCGTGCAAGTTATGTTTGTCTCCTAAGGCTCTGCGGGGAGGTGGGGTTGGGGGACGTTAGAGGCACCGCAGCAGCAGCAGCAGCACGTGCAGCACACACTTGGGGTAACGTCTTCCAGGTTGTAAATTTTAACGACCGATATTTTATAGGGCGTTGTTTTAAAACGCGAAAACTTAAAACCCCGTGTGAAAATCGGCGGAAACGTCAACATCAAAAAATAGTGACCGTAAAAACAAAAAAAACGGCCGTAAAAAAAAACGAGACACGAGGAACCTACACACGCTCTCTTTCTCTCTCTCTCGTTAGTCCGTTACCACAGCGAGCTTCTTACAGCTCTCAGATAACTTTTATTTCTCCCATTGCCGGCGCAAAGCCAACACGTCCGATGAACGCTTGCCCTCCCCCCCCTCTCCCCCCAAGCACAGCTGCCTCTGTGACAGCCGGCCCTCCCCTGACGTGCTGTCCTGCATGCTTGCTGTGCTGCGTGGCCTCACCTAGCGCCGGGTTGCGCGTGTCTGACTCTCCCTGTGAGGTTCAACCTGAGCGATCGTGTGTGCGTGTGGTGTGGTGTGTGTATGTGTCTGCGAGCGTCTTGCTTCGTGCGATGCAATTAATTTGTTTCGCAAAGTTTCGTACGGTGCCGTCTGGTCGCAACTCCATGCACGGTTTATTTTTATTTTTTTTGCTCCGATTCGTCTTAATTCTTATTGCCGTATGCAGCTCGAGTGTGAGCGTGTCTCTCGCCGCCTACTGAAAAGCCATCGCAATTATAATAATGAGATCCTGCGCCCCCTTATTAGAGGCGCGCGAGAGGTGGAGCGGGGAGGGCAACATTGTGATGCATCCAAAATCAATTTATTAAATTTTTTGATCAAGACAAAAATGTAAGAATATCCGAACGAAACTCTAATTTAGTTTTTGAATGCTATGAAGTTAAAGAAACACAGCGCACAGGCTGACGTGAGGGCGATAGACGCTTGCTAATGAAGGCCTGACGTTTTCACGGAGTTCAAGGTTTGTAGACCGCAGCCATAACCTTAGCTTGTTAACGCGAATCCTGCATCTCGCGAATGCAACGCAATTTTCGGACAACCTGGTTTTTTTTTTCATGCCGTAAAGTTGAATATTATAACAAGTTTATAAATTGGCCATTCCAATAATATATCGAGTCCGCATGCGGTAAAGGTACTCGTCATTCCGGACATCGAAGAATGATGTGAAGAAATGTTCTCACTCTGAAAATCCTGCACAAGCCTGTAGATTTATTTAAATAATGTTTACTTTCAACGAACACAATTTGCACGGATGTTAATGTAGAGATGAGTAGTAACCGGTTGATATTGCTGTTACGTATTTTTGCTTAATTATGCTGCATGCAAATAATAAAATATCAGCTGAAGCTTTATCAAAATTGAAAATTACTTGGTTTTATTTTATAAACAGCATAACACCGCCTTTTTTTATCATAGATCCCACTCTCACTTCCCAGACATAATTTTGTAGCGTTTTGTTTTTTGGGTTAATTTCAAAATAAAACAACGAAATCCAGATGTTTCATTTCATTTTAGTTCGAGCTGTTATCAGTGCGCATACAACTTAAGTAAAAAAATGTTTCCAGTAAAAAAAAAATCAATTAATAACTCGTCACATGCGTCCTAAAACAAATGTGACATCATATACAAAACAACTGCTAACTTAGTGGCCTTGAGAGTGGAACGTTTTCTTTTGAATCTGGAAGCACCAACTCTCGTCTCAACGTTGTATGATTATTTTTTTAGAATGCCACATACCAAACACAGTCACCGTTACCAAATTGTGGGCTAAATAAGGCTCCGTGACAAAGCTTAAATCTAAATTGCTATTTTTCTCAACTGTAGAATCGCCCGAGGGAACATGGGAACGTGTTTATATTAAATGATGTAAAAAAAATAACTTATCTCGAATCGCTGAGGTTTTTCGGCCTTGGGAGCAACACCAAACCTCCCCAAGAAGACAGAGGACAGACGGACCGCAATATCTTGACGAGAGCACATTAGCGCATATTGGGCAAATGTGCCATCTGTCTGCGATCGGGAATACCGATTATATGCCACTTGTGGCAAATGTAGCCAACCCATGATTACAATATGCACACGGACATTCCAGAAAAGGGAACTTGAGTCGATTTCAGTCATAGCTGGAGACTGTCGGCTTTAAAAACAAAATCGTTTCATCTATTGTCGAAGTCGCCTTCAGTTGTCTTAGGAATTATTCTCTGAGAGTTCCAGATGGAGGACACATAGGACGTGCACATTTTGTGTACGTGTGCGTTTTTTTCAAAGATGATTACATAATAAGATTCAGGCTGGAAGAATATAAATTTTCCGAGGTTGGAGATATGTTATCGTTACAGTCAGCATAACGATTTTTTTTTTACGTTTAACTTACATTTTTGTCTTTTCATTCAGAAGCCACCATTAGCTTCAGTATTGCCAAGAGTAAAAAAATTCAAAGCATTTCTTAAAATACGCAAGATTTGCTCTTGAACGGAAATGTGAATTCTACCACGCAGCCTAGGTCAAGTTATTCTTCTACAAATAAAGCTAAATTAAATTACTACTTCGTTTTTTTCCGAGCATGTTTAATACGTGACATTTAAAGTAGAGTGTAAGCGATGAGCAAAGAAGATAACGGCCCTTAAATTGAAGATATTACTTTTGGTTCCAAGTAAAGAGTCATGTTTCAGGCAAAGAAAATAAAAAAATATAATTGGAGTATTTTCGCACTGGATAAAATCAACTAATACATAAGCACAACAAGAAAAGCTCAAATGATATATAATAATAATAGTAATAATAAACGATAATATGTAATAATGAAAAGCATACAACTTTTTCCGTGAAATTATTTCACTCCAAGCAATGATACCAATGCTCTTATGTCCGCAAGAAAACATATCTGCGCAAACTGTCTGACGTATTTTCGCTAAAATTGTAGATGCCAGAGTCACATGGCACGCGCTTAAATGTTTCCAGTTTATTTTTCTTTTACGCTCAATATTTGACGTCATCCATCTTTCACTTCGTCTTTTTTGTAATCAGATGTATTGCTTTGCACAAGTATATTTGCGCTGAGTACCGCTATTCTTTTGTTTTTAATCATTCTGGGAAATTAAGTTGTCGCCATTTTTCTGGAACAAAAATGCTGCTGATCTCATTTTCATATCATGCATGGCCTCTCCTGTCAGAAGCATGCGTGGCGGCCGCGTGTGTGTGTGTGTGCAAGCGCGCGATTGTTTTCTGTGTGTGGGAGTGTTTAGTTGTCTTTTTTAGAAATACGGTACGGTATGTGCATATGGTGCGCGTGCGATATCATTACGTTTCTAACAATATTAACCCCTCACTGTGCACGTGTCTGTCTCGCAACAAGTCTGCACTAAAAAGAGTGTATTTAAATCGAGAGAGCAGCAGGGAATATTGAGGAGTGTACATTCACATCCCTCTGTTATTTTATTCCTATTCTCGACCAAGAGCAATTGAAACTGCCTCATTTAATGAGCAATTTTAGCTCCACATTCCAGTGAGCCAGCATTCAGATACCAGTCATTAGCATTATTTAGTCTACATATATATTTATTCGGGTGAAACTATATTTCTGTAACCTCCTGACCAGATGGAATTATTTATTAGAACAAACGGAAGTGTAGTTCTGTGAGGTTTAAAATATATATTAATTAGGAGACTTTTTTCCTCGCATCACCCCTCCTGTGGTGCTTTTGATGTAACGCCATGCTTGGGTATAATAAAAAAAAATTATCGGAGAAGATGGCAAAGTCTGTAACAGATCAAATAAATTCACGCACATACAGGAATGCGAAATCACTCGAGCACGCATATAAATACGCGTCAAGTCGACAATTACAGCAGTGAGATTCATCTTAAAAGTAATTTCTTTTTTTCTCTTCACCTAATTTATGGTTGATTCGTGTCATGCCAACTCAATCCCTTTTTACTCTTCGCAAGAAATGCTTTTTGCACCATTATGGAATTGTGATGCATTTTATCTCGTGAAAAAAAACCCTCAATATACAAAACCATTGCACCACCCAAATTTATCCATGTTCCATATGTAATGCCTTTTTTTGCGGGAAAAAAAGAAAATTCTGTACGCATATGCGTAAGGCCCATTTAAGCTCACAGACCAATTTATGAACGAATATTTATTCCGGTGTTGAGAATGTTTCAAAACCTTCTTGTTCATGAATCTATTTCTTGCCTTTTTTTTTGCTGATGGATTTGTTTAGATTAAAAAATATATATATGCAAAAAAATCAGCTGACCATCGAAATCATCTTCTAAGTAGGTGTCAGGACCCATCGAAAACCTATTTTTGACGAGTGTTTTTTTTCCCTCCCTTTTTTTCTGTGACAATACTATTTAATATAAGAAATGCTTTATTAGATAACTAGATCACACTCCTAGGAGACATTCCTCGATTTGACATTCAGAGGAAACGAACACTCTCGAAGAAGTGGACATTTCGTGTTCAAACTAAAAAAAAATCTCCCACTATCACTCAGTGATCATGCTCAGTAACATAAGGGTGATTACGTTTATTGTAATCCCTCCCACCCCCCCCCCCCCCCCGTCTTGTTTGGTTCGCCTTGATTTTGTTTTCACGATCCACTGCTGCGTCAGGTCACCATCTCAGTGGATGGGATCCTGACGACGACGGGCTACACCCAGGAGGACTACACCATGCTCGGCTCCGATGACTTCTTCTACGTTGGCGGTAGCCAGAACACGGCCGACCTGCCCGGATCCCCTGTCAGCAACAACTTCCGCGGATGTCTCAAAGAGGTGAGGCGCGCGGTGGGTGGGTGGAGGGTTTGCTGGCTTCTCGCGCTTGCAAACGCACGCGCACTCATCCGTGCGACATCAACGATGTGGCCGCAGCGCTCGCATGCCAGTCCACGTGAGCTATCGAGGCCACGTCAAGTCTCAAAGGCTCCCTGCTGGCGAGAGGTCACGGGACAAACCCGATTGTTATGGGTTAACTGACTGAGATTCTTGTGCACGCTCATAAAGACAAAGGTAAAGATCCCCTTGAGATCGAGTCAAGCTTATTTGTGCAACCAGGTGAGAGCCCAAGACACCAATATGGTCTCATTTGTTGGAGAAGGTTACCACCTGTCATGGGCTTTCCCAAGATCGTCCTCTTTTTGAGGTAGCTGCCCTGGGAAATCTAAGTCTTCCCAGAACATAAACAAGCGTTGAAAGTTTTGTTTTTTTGTCAGTTATATGCGGTCCTCCCTTATTCCCATGATGCGTAGCAGAGCTTTGTACCTCAGAAGTGGCAGCCCCCACGCGTACAGCCTTACAGACAATTGGGGAAATGTCGCTAGCGAGCACTGACAGCTGGCACGGTGCACGAGCGGTGATGTAGCCAGCACCATGGCCAGCGACCTTTGTATATCCAGTGTCAACATTTACACTCGAATTGTAAATGTTGTGGGTTTAGTCTCCAACACACTGGTGTGCTGAACTAGTAACGAATTGGCATGTTTTGTTTCCGTCACGAACCTTACTAATTGGCTGTGTCAGGTGGTGGCGGGTTTAACGACGCATTTGTATTTACGCGATCTAACCCAAAAACCGTTCTTGTAGATTTACACCAGACAGTCATTTAAGGCGGAGTCAAATTCTGGAGGCCTAGGACCAGTTCAAATATCACTTGTCAAGGACCAGTTCGAATATCACTTGTCACTGATGTTAGCCATGGCCAGGAATCAACCCCAGGTTATATGGTTTGTCGCGCAGTGTGCAAAACATCATGCCATCACTCATGCACAAAGACAGAGATCTCCCGTATAGCCTTAACAGACTGTTGGAGCAAGTTCTGTTAGTGAGCACCTATGAAGGCCATCATGGCACATGAGAGGGTGGGTGGCCAGCACCACATTTGTCTCCCTAATGTTGATGTTAACCAGGTGCTCAGTTGACTACCTTGTTTGAGGTTGAGTCGACCTAGAGGAGGCCCAGAACCGGTTCAAATGATTGTCACTGATGTTGGCAGTGAGCTGGAATTGAACTCGGATCGCCGGGTTTTTCGTGCAGCACTACCAACACTCATTCACACTGCCTCCATGTGCGTAAGCTTGCATCAAAACTCACTCCGCAAGGTGTGTTTACTTGAGAAATAATTTCGTAATTTTTGCTTGAAAACAGATCCAGTTGTATCAAATCTCTCATGACCAACTCCAGTTTATGTCTATGGTGTAATCTAATGTCTTTAATCATCCTGAGTTTCTAATATGATTAGAGTTCCCCCGTGCTTGAAATTATTATCCGCTGTGCCAATCAAAGTCTCTCACTGTTTAATTATGCCACTAAACAATGTTGGACCTGCTGTTGTACCTGGAGTTGTGAGCTGGATACACCGCCGTGTCGATGCATACAAAATATCACGGAGTTCATTCACGCGTTATTGGTGAATTTTTACTTTCATCCTACATTTTTTTGTAAAAATACACCGACACATCTCCATGACCAGCACTCACGCAAATCTTCAAGCCAATGCGCTCTAGCCGTTTCATTGATATGTGATTCTGGCCTGCAGCGTTTTGCGCTCTCAAAATGAACGCCTTTGTTTTGATTTAAAGCTTTCGTGACTACAGGGATTCATATTCTTGGTTATTTCAGTAAAGTCACTTAGAAGGGAAACAATAAAATAATAAAAATATAAAACAATAAAATTCTCACGACGTTTCGACTGCAACACAAGCAATCATCATCAGGTGTGAAAACCACAACAAGAAAATTCGAAAAAAATGGCGGTTATTTTTAACGTTAGCACCAGGGAGAGCGATTTGACAGTTTGTTCAGATGGACGAGTCCATCTATATTCGGAAAAGAGGAAGGGGGAGACGACAAATAATGGGTGCGGTCTGAAAGCCACCTTAAGCGTGATCAATCAATTAAGACCCGAAATGATTTATCAAATCCTTCCAATGATTGCTAAGCCAGAATCCATCTTCTCGGTTGAAATTGTCTGTGTTTGTATATGTGGATTGCCTCATGAACGAATCTCTCATGGTAGCCAGATGGCTTGCAAAGAACCTCTGTCTTGGAGAAGTCAATGTCATGTGAACCTACTGAATTATAAAAGTGATCTGCCACGGCCGAGGTGTTGGTCCTACCGTGTTTCAGGTCTGCTTTGTGTTCACGAATGCGGTCCGAGACATGTCGTTTGGTTTCTCCAATGTAACTACTACCACAGAGGCAACTTAGTTTGTAGACGCCAGGGTACTGTATGTCCGGAATCACATCTTTTACAGACGGAACCAGATCACGGATTTTATGTAATAAAATAATAAAAATATAAAACAATAAAATGATCACGACGTTTCGAATGCAACACAAGCAATCATCATCAGGTGTGAAAACCACAGCAAGAAAATTTGAAAAAAATTGGATTTTTTTTGCATTCGAAACGTCGTGAGAATTTTATTGTTTTAAATTTTTATTATTTTATTGTTTTCCTTCTACGTGACTTTACCGAAAGAACCAAGAATATGAATCCCTGCAGTCACGAAAGCTTTAAATCAAAATAGATGGACTCGTCCATCTGAACAAACTGTCAAATCTCTCTCCGTGGTGCTAACGTTAAAAAACCGCCACTTTTTCACATTTTCTTGTTGTGGTTTTCACACCTGATGATGATTGCTTGTGTTGCAGTCGAAACGTCGTAAGCATTTTATTGTTTTATATTTTTATTATTTTATTGTTTCCCTTCTACGTGACTTCACCGAAAGAACCAAGAATATAAAAAAACGCCTTTGTCTTGGGTCTTCAGAATCAACATTTTCCCCGTTGATCGTACTCGTGGAATCAATGCATTTTTTGGTTCACATCCAACGTTCGTCCGATTGCATAATCGGTGAACCCCTTGGGCAATTAAGTCCCACGCCGAGTTAATTATGGTATGTTTCAGCAATTGTTTAATAAATCGTGCCAAAAGGAGCAGGTGGACAAGTGCCGTCAGACGTAAGCTGCAACATCAACACGTTCGCGTGCATGAACTATCAGGCTTGGAAATAAATGCGTTCATCTTTGAAACTATGTTCAATTATGTTTGCTTTGGAACATTGTGTCGATATTGAAATCTGGCGCCTTCATCGTGCACATTCAAACAAACATCGTAAATTAATGAAACTGCCTTAAATTGCACGCAAATAAAAACCTGCCGAGGACAATATCTGGTCGACACAAGCCATGCAGAATGTAATCTTGTTCTCGCTTTAGGACATCAATAGCGTTGCGTTAAGGAACCATAATACATAGAAGGTCCTGTGGACTTGATGCTAAGCTTAAATCCGTGATTGGTCTTACACGGACTGTGATGACATTTTCTCAGAATTACATACCTTGTACTGCTCAGCACTCTCATCGGGTATGCCCTAGCATGAAATGTGGCTGCTGAAAATGTATTTTCCACCTAGAGTGTCATAGCCCGGTTGTACCATTATAATGCCTGACACGTTTCCAATTCTTAAGCTAGTTATTTGGTTGCGTTTTTCACCTTGTTGAGTAGTAAAGAGGAGAGGTGATAATGGTGCGCTGAAGCATCATTACTCTATACCGCAATGCAAGCTCTTTGCTTTGCTTCGGCTGAAAATGTTTGCTTCCCGTACATATGTTTGAGCGTAATAAAAAATAAAATTCTCACGACATTTCGGCCACAACACAAGTAGCCTTCTTCAGGTGAAGGAACAGAACTGTCGGGACGACAGAGCTTCAATGACTGCTGCTAAGATTCGCAGCGTCTTTTAAGCTAGGTGGGAGAAGTTAAAGCGCCTTGACAAATGAGTTTACATATCAAGGCGCTTTACCTCTACCACCTAGCTTAAAGACGCTGCGAATCTTAGCAGCAGTCATTGAAGCGCTGTCGTCCCGACAGTTCTGTTCCTTCACCTGAAGAAGGCTACTTGTGTTGTGGCCGTAACGTCGTGAGAATTTTATTTTGTATTATGTCTTATTTTTATTATTTTATTTCCATTCTACGTGACTTTACCGAAAGAACCAAGAAGATGAATTCCTGCAGTGACGAAAGCTTTAAATCGAAATTTATGTTTGAGCGTGTTTGTTCATAATTGTCAGGTATTTTAAAGCACTTCTTGTTAGCACCTCTTTGCTTGTTATTGTTTTTCTCGATAGTGAGAAGTGTATCTCCTTCTTCGACTCGCACGATGCCCCTGTTTGCATTTTTATAATGAACGGCCCATCTAAGCAGCAGCCACTGAAATGAATCTGGACTCAAATCAGCGTCGTTGCCGTGATGTTTAGCGGTTGACATTGAATTAATTCACCAAACTTTTTTTTGTTTAAAAACACATGCATTTATATGCTATCCTGAATAAAGGCAAATATTTAGATCCCCCCCCCCGTATAGGTTTTAACTGTTGAGTCAAGTGCTGTTAGTGAGCACATATGAAGGCCGGGACGGAACAAAGGAGGCGGTGGTCAACACCACGCCCGGCCACCTTTGTCTCCCGAAGTGGCAATGTTTACACATAGCACCAGATACTCATCTGAGGCTGAGTCGCCCTAGTGGAGGCCCTGGACCGGTTCAGATAATTGCTACTGGTGTTGGCCTTGAGCATGAATGGGTTGCAGAACGATAACCACTACACCACCGCTAACCACGTTATTTTATGCATATAGACAAATATAAATTATCCCCCGTATAGCTTTTTAACAGACTGCTAGAGCAAGTGCTGTTAGTGAGCACCTATGAAGGCCGGCACAGCACATGAGGGGGTGGGTGGCCAACACCACACCCGGTTAATGTTGTCTCCCCA